TGTTGGCATCATTGTCAAATAGCTGGGAAGTCATGAGGTTGGTAGTTAGCAACTCTGCAGGTAAATCTAAGCTGAAATATGATGATATTCGTGATTTGATTTTGGCTGAGGTGTTGTGCAGGAAAGATTCTGGCGATACCTTGGGTTTGAGTTCGACACTGATTGTTGATTCCAGAGGGAGATCACAAGACAGAAACTCAAACAGTGGAAGATCAAAATCAAAATCAGGTCAGCAGACAACCTGCTGGAATTGTGGCAAGGCTGGCCACATAAAAAGAAACTGCAGGAATCCTAAGAAGAAGGAGAATGAGGGTGCTAATGTTGTAACTGAAGAAATACATGATGCATATTTCTGGCAGTTTACAGTTCTGTTGGTGACTGGATTCAGGAGCTTCCTTCCATACATCTTCCCATCGGGAGTTAATATGAAATTATGTTGCAGGTAAATTTGGGAAGGTATATCTGGCTTATGGAAAAGCTCTGGACGTGGTGGGAATGGGAGACGTTGATATTGCACTCCTTAACAAGATCAAATGGACTTTGCAAAAGGTTAGGCACGTTCCTGAGTTACAGAAAAACTTCATCTCTATTAGGCAGCTCAATGAGGGTGGTCATTCGGTAGTGTTCTCAGATAACATCTTGAAAGTTACCAAAGGAGCATTAGTACTGGCTCGGGGTAAGAAAACTAACACACTATATATGATTATAGGTTTACTGAGGCGAGGACACATGAGTAAGAAGTGCATTATGGGAAAGCAGAAGAATGTCAATTTCCTGAAAAGTGGTAGAGCGCCAAAGGAAGGAAAACCGAACCTTGTACAAACAAATGGTGGAGAACCACAGAGTTATGAAGAAATCTTGCAAGATGAGAATTCGAGCAAGTGGGAGCTGACCAAAAAGGAGGAGACGGATTCTATATCAGGGAATCAGACTTGGGAGCTGGTAAAACTTCTATTAAGGAAGAAGACATTGCACAATAAGTGGGTGTACCGGGTGAAGACTGTGTTTGGTGGCAGTAAGAGGTACAATGCTGGACTTGTTGAAAAAGACTTTCAGTAGGGGCAAGATATTGCTCATGCAGTGGGAGTTGTAAGTAGATACAGGAGTAACCCAAGAAAGAGCTTGATGGTACAAGGTTACGTTGACGGTGATATGTCAACTGAGGGTGTTACTCGTGAGAAGCTGAAGTTGTGCTCGACTTCAGCTGAATTTCTGACATGGAGACAGGGGTTTTGAGTTACAGACGTGAAGAGTATCATGTTTGAGGAAAAGGGTTGTACAACTAGTAGATGATGCAGCTAGTAGGTGATACATTTAGTGTCTCAGTCTCAAAGTGGGAGAATTGTTGGGTAATGTGGAGATTCGGTCCACCGAATTTAATTAGCTTCTTAATTAAGTATCCTACCTACCACACCCACCTACTGCTCACCTAACACATCCCACCTACCGCTAACCTACCTCTCATCTATCACTCTCATGGTTTCTATAAATAGTTTCTTTTGATTTAAAGGAATGTCAAACCAAGCAAAGCCAAGCCAAGTCTTCTTGAGAGCTAAGAGAAAGAGAGGAAGAGAGAGAGAGAGAGAAGAAAGGAGAGAAGAAAATAGATATTTTTTTGTAAACGTCAAGGCGCTCGACGGTGTAATTCCTCGAAGAAATAAAATCCTTCGAAGAAACAAATCCTTTGCAGCTCCGTGAATGTAGACAAATTTGTCGAACCATGTAAATCTGTGTGTCGCTCTGGTGTTTTTCTGCGTGCAATTTTATTCGTTCCATTTTTCATTTTATTGACGTTGTTTTTTCATGATACCATGGACGCAGACAATTTACCGAATCACGTAAATTTATGTGTTTCCGTTATTTTTTATTTTACGAATTTCTCTCGCATATAGAATAAAAATGATAATAAATAATGAAGTCTCAATATATCAAATAGAATTTTTCCCACTTATTACAGTTCAAGCCTATCCGTCAGAATGAAAAAAAATTAATAAAAATAAAAAAAAGTAAATATTTAATAATATATTAAAAATATCCTAGCGGCCAAGAAAGCGATGTTCTGCTTACCAAACACTGACAATTGAGATAGAAACATATTAAAAACTTCTGCCAGAAAAGCTTTAAAAGCTGTTTTAGCTAATTCGATTTTGTCCATACACGTTGCAGCAATTGTTTTCATGCTGCTGCCAGGAAAAAATTAGAAATAACGTGCGTAGCCAATGAAATCATGTCACGACACCCCATACGACAGGGAAAAAAAAACGGCGCAGTAACACAGGGAATATTTTTTGTATTATTCATGTGTTATTGCGTGTTATTCATATGTTATTGTGTGTTATTCATGTGTTATTGATGTGTTATTGTGTTATTATAACACCAAGAATATTCTCATGACACAATAACACATGAATAACACGCAATAACACCTGAATAACACGGGGAATATTCCCGACAGAGAAAAAAACGGCACAGTAACACGGGAGA